AACCCCAAGGCCAACCCTGAGCCTGAGGCCAACCCGCAGATTTGCGTTTGCGGAGGAGGCCCCGGCAACTGCTACGATAGCTGTGGACAGCCGTTCTGCTGCTAGACAATAACTTCAATCAGAAACACTTCATCCCGTCGTGTGGGTTTTGGGAGGAACTACAGCGGCTCGGGTCACAGATGCATTTTGCCTGCCGTAGGTTCCCATCACTGATGCAGGTTTCGTCAAAGCATCTGAGTAAGGAGGAGCGAAATGGCTAGCAATAGTTTAAAGAACGCTTTCTTCATGAACTTGTAAACTTTTCCAATTTTATCAGAACCCGTGCCTACCTAGCTCCTCAGTGGCCAATTAGCCTCCCTATCCCCAACCACCACATCCCCCGGCTTCAACACCAGCTCCGAGACATGACGATCCTGTCCAGCAGCAACCAGCGTCTTGGCGGAATCCGGCCTCCCACTACTACTACTGCTGCTATAGCCACTTCTACTACTGCTGCTCCTTCCTACCGGCATTGGCCAATCATTGAAGCTGACAAGACCATCCCTGCTGCCGCCATTGCCGCCTCTGGGCTCGTAGCGCATGAAGTCAACACTCATTCTCCCCGATGGCACCGCCGCGCCACCAAGGAAGCGGACGCCGTCGTCCCTGCCGTGACGCGTCGTGCCTTCCCATTCGTGGAACGTGTCGAGCAGCGTGTCGAGGAACAACCGCCGCCGGGAGGAGTCAGAGTTCTTGAATGCTGAGATGTGATGGTGACACGGTGGTGAGTTTGCAAGCTGCCTGTGCTTGTTGGCGTGGAGTGCGGCCTGCTGGGCGCGGACGTGAGCATTTGAGTACTTCTCGTTGTGCACGAAGAGCATGCGGAAGGAGACCAGGCAGGAGGTGATGTACGCTGTTCATTGTTGATCATCTGCGGTTAGTTTAATGTTTTACGGGGGAGGTGTGACAAAATTTGGGGGCTTGACAGCGTTGCTGCTGGCTTACCGGTAATGAACTCGATCGACAGCCAGAACCAGGCCCAAGCTATGTTTTGGGTCTGTGAGCCGTCGGTGGCCACTTTTCCCTCATAGATGGTACCGCGAATAATAGTCACGGCGACGGTTACCAAGGTCAGGGAGAAGATTGCGCCGAGAACGAGCTTCTTCCGGATCGTGAGGCGGACCTGCCAGAGAATGACGACGGGGAGGAACAAGACTATGGCTGGTTAGTTTCAGTGTCCTGTCCGCAAAGGGGCTTGCCGTCTTACTCAGGACATCAGACGCTGCGTCAATGGTGCAGTAGGCGATCATGTACGTCCACTGGCGGGCAGTCTCCCCGTTGGCGGTGCACTCAAAGAAGACAACGTCGAGGGAGCTGAGCATGCACTTGTATTCAACGAGCGCAATGCTGACAGCGTATGATGCGAGAGTTACAAAGGCGACAAACCACCAAAAGATCATGTACTTGGGCATTTGACGGCCTAGACGACGGAAGAAGAGAAGGAAGCTCAGCTTGACGGCATGAACCCCAGTAATGCTCAGAATACCCTGGATAAAGATGCCGTGCAGGGCCTTGGGGACGTCATCCAGGAAGGTCGGCGGCATGGGGATCGAACGGTTGGACACATCCTCCAACATGTACACATACGGCAGCCGTAGTTGAGCAATGCAGGCCGCGGCCAGTTGGATAGCCAATGCTGCCAGCATAATCCAATCCTCGGGGAGAAGCCGGCGAAAGCAAAGCCACCGGATATATGAGCGTGCGCAGAACCCCACAAAACAGAGTGCAAAGCCGGCCCATATCACGGCCTGCGATGGATGGTTGTGTCAGGGCTAGAGTCCATACTATCGTGCTTTATTTTTTTTTTTTTTGGCATGTTGGTTGGTTCTGGAAACGAGGGCACTGTGCAGCTGACCAAAATTTTTTTATTCCAGGTTTGAGTACGTCTACTTCGCCAGGCCCGATTCCATCATGGACGGCATCTCAATCAACAGCAGCCGGCAGAACATGGGCGCCAAGTTGGCCGACAAGCTGCGTGAGGTGCTAGGCGAGGAGGGCATCAACGAGATCGACGTCATCATTCCCGTCCCGGAGACGAGCAACACGGCGGCGGCCGTCGTGTCGGAGCGGCTCGGCAAGCCCTTCTCCAACGGTTTTATCAAGAACCGCTACGTGTACCGCACCTTCATCTTGCCCGGCCAGAAGGCGCGGCAGAAGAGCGTGCGTCGCAAGCTGAGTGCTATGGAGTCGGAGTTTGACGGTCGCGTTGTGTGCCTGGTAGATGATTCTATCGTGCGCGGCACCACCAGCAGGGAGATTGTCAGCATGGCGCGTGAGGCCGGCGCCCGCAAGGTCATTTTTGCCAGCTGCGCACCGCCCATCAAGTATCCTCATATTGTACGTTTATTTCCTTTTGTTGAATGCCCCTCTTGGCCTTTGGGTTAACAGTCTTGGCAGTACGGCATCGACCTGGCAACCCCGCAGGAACTCATCGCGCACGAAAAGACGCGCCAGGACATCGCCCGGCACATCAACGCCGACGACGTCATCTACCAGGACCTAGATGACCTGAAGGTTTCCTGTATGGAGGTTGCGCCCGGTGGCAAGGTCACCGACTTTGAAGTGGGCGTCTTCTGCGGCAAGTACCAAACGCCCGTGCCTGAGGGTTACTTTGAGCACCTCAATCAGAGCCGAGGTAAGAAGCGCAAGATCGCCGAGCAGGCGGCACCGACGCCCTCGACCGCCGTCGGCAGCGGCGGGCCCGTCAACCTCGCCAAGCGCACCCTCGTCGACGGCGGCGGGGTCCTTGGCGGCGCCGGCGGAGCAGCGGGTCTTGGACAGGGGGCCGAAGAGGAGGTGAACGGGGTGGACAAGAATGCGGGAATGGCGAACCCAAATAACAGGCAGGACATCAGGTATGTTCTTTTTCTTTTTCGTCCATTTAATTTGTGAATAAGAGGTCGGTTACTGATCTTTCCTTTCTCCGCTCTTTAGCCTCCATAACTTGGCGAATGAGCCGAGTACCCAATAAAGGTTGGCATGTCGTCGCTAAGATTGTTCAATCATTTTACACTTCTGCATGCATCGATCCTCATCCCGAGATTTTGGGGAGGGGAAGAGGATCTAGAGTATCTGGTATGTCCAATAGACGGATAGACGGATACGGATAGAGAAGAATGGCTGGCTTCTTGTGTCTCTGATCGCTTCTGTGGAAAGGAACGGCAGAGGAAAGGGTTTTTGTATTTTGTCGCTCAAGAAAAGCCACCCCTTGAAGAGATAACAAGGCTCTCGCTGCGGCGGGTATAAATGTATATATGTATATTTGATCCCGGGCGGGAGACGGGTTAGTACACTTGCACTGGCAGCGTTGACATGATGTTGGAAGCAGAGAATACAACCCAGAACGTTCTCAAGATCTATTATGTCTGGGAGGCGTGATCTGCTACACGGGTGTTTAGAGGTGGGATGGTATCTGTCTTCAATCGATGCGCTTCGCTAAAATCTATCCAAGTTGAATGCGCTCGTCTCCGGGTATGACCTTATACGCATTTCTCTTCTCACAGGTTAAGACACCGATTGGGCGCAAGATGCCACTGTCCTTTCTAACAAAACTTCCCTTCATCTAAACCTACCCTCTCTTTAAACCCTGGGCATCATCGCTGCATCGTCATGAACGACTGACGGTAGACTATCCGTTAGTAGAGAGGCTAGCTAGCATTCTTTGGAGAAGGCTATGACACCGTTGAATCGCCAGGGACAGTCAACAGGTAAATGTATTGACTCCTAAGAAAACACACTAGACTCGCCTTGAAGGGTTGAGGTAGATATAAAAAACAAGGAACTCGACGAAAAAAGAAGAGTCGTTGTTGGACGTACCGCGGATCGAACGCGGGACCGTCTGTAATCAATGAGCCATTGCAAAACAGAAATCATACCACTAGACCATACGCCCGTAGACTCTTGTGGTTCAAGAACAACGGCAGTTCATTTATCAAGTCGGCTCAGGCGGAATGCCCCATTTGGAAGACGACAATCCCCTTTTCTTTAACCCTTTTCAATGAACCAGATAATAGGGCAAAGTCATAGAATCTATTTCAATCGCCAATTTCCGTGCCACACATTTGGTAGCAAACTTCTACACGTCTGAGGCATGGTACAATATGAACCTGTGCTCTTTTGTTGGTTATCTACCCGGATCTGTCCGTGTTGTTACGAGTCACGGGGGTCCGGCTTCTTGGTCATGGCCGCTCCTTGTTGATCTGTCTCTACCGAGTGGAGACAAAGCGCAAATAATACGGGCTTCAAGGGGTTCGTGTTCAACGATTCAAGAACCTTTGCTGTTCTATTTCTCACAGTCAATCTATTTTAGCCAGAAAGTCCGACATGCAAACAATAAGTGAAAATGGCTTTGCCGACTCTTTCCGCAGTAATCAGTTGTACGGGGTTTCAATTCGCCTATCTACCGCACCGGAAAGTCAGGGCATCTACGACCCTAACCCTTATTTGCGGCTTGACACGCTTAGAGGTACATATAGGAACGAGATCAATCATTCTTCCCGAGAGGACCAGTCACTACAAGCTCTTCTCACACAGTGAGGTCCTCGTACACTTTGTCATATCAGTGATCACACCCATGCCAGTCCAGCTACTCATCACTCTTCAGGTTAGGGCGTGCAATCTTCCTGCCCAGGCTTCTCCACGTCGCCTATATCACATCTTCATGTGATATACATCCTGTATGCGGCTCTTACTCTCTCTTCCAGTCTTCGCAGCTTGCTTTGCCCAAGCCTGACTGCACGGCTGTTCCCTCCCTCATTCAACTGTCCTGATCATGTCAGGACCCCCCGCCCTTCCCTTTGCTTGTCCTTGTCCCTTACGATGACACAGTTTTAGACTCTGATGTCTAGCAGGACAACCAACTGCGTAGGTAGGCATAGTCCTGGACAGAATGGTTTTCGTGAACAGTTTGTAGCATAAAAGTACCAGTGCCCCCCCGATTTCAGGGAGGGGAAGCAAAAGATCGATCCGACTGGGATTCGAACCCAGAACCTTTACCAGCAGTGAGAACTACAACTTTTCGCATTGAGAGACCGGAAAGTAACGCGCTGCCATTGCGCCATCGGACCGCGCATTTGATTTGCTGGTTTGATGGGCCGCAAAGTCTGCTTTTCCAATGTGCGTGGAAAGGGTGGATGCAAACTGAGTGGAGCGGGGTATGTTGGGCGTGGGGCTTGCTGTGTGCGTGTGTGGTGGCCTGAGCGTCCCAAGGGTATGGCTATGTTTGTATCCCGTTGCTTGATCCGTTTTCCCTTCTTCGTGCCTCAGTTCAGTCTCACGGACGAATCAGACATGGTGTGCAGTTATTTCTCTAATAGCTTGAAGTTAGCAGTTCAGATCAAAGCCAGCATATTGATATGGCCATCGCAATGACGTCACCACGGCAGATCAGAGTAGGGTAGCTATCTACATAAGGAAGCAACCTAAGTGCTTAACCCCTCCATGTCCCGCGTCAGGCAATACGGCATATAAGGCAACTACTGTAGCAAGTCACAGCCTTTCTCAGCAACGCATCATCACTTTCATTGTGATCATCTCGTTCATCATCAAGTCACTGCTTTCGCCTCCGTCTTCCCACTTCCAAAACAAGACATTCATTCAACCAAAGCAACTATGCAGCGCGGCGGCCCCACCCATAGCGCAAAGCCGGCTCGACAGCCACAACAGCAGCAGCACGCTCCGCTTGTACAACGCCCTGCGACGCCTATAGGTGGTGCCGCCGCCGGACAACACCACTCGCACGGCGGATCCCATGCCCATGAGGAGGAGGGATACACCTGGACTTCGCTTAAACATTTGCAGACACTTATCCCCAGCGGGCTCAGGTCCGCCCCGGCGGTGCCGCCGCTGGCTCCCGGGCAGCCGATCCCATTCAAGTTTGCCAAGACCCCTAAGTAAAGCACCTTGATCAAACAGCTTAGTGGGGGTTTTTTTTTCCCACTTTGCTGGGGGACGGGAGCCCGAGGCCAAGCTCGGGTTACGAGCGAACTAGAGGTGTTGTTGGTGTGTGTGCTGGTTATGGTAGGGCTAGTGAGTAAGGTCAAGATGGCTCGAGTTCCGCGCCTAGGGATCAAGCGCTAGGAGCACGTAATCCAAGGTAAAGATCTTGTTACGTGGCTTCTATGCTAGGGGGAACAGAGTCAAAGAAAGGGACATATCGGGGCCGCGACCAGCTAGCTGGTTTAGATATTATGGCGTCTTGTAGGTACACCGTTATATATTTACTAGGAGTAGTAGTGCCTTGCGTTTAGCTATGGGTCGGGAGAAGTGAATGGTAATACAAATTCCAACAGCAGGTTCACAAGAGATGAAGAAATATGTGCGTCGTTCGAGTATGTCGTATGGTATACGGCGTACGGCGTATGGCCCGAGGTACATTCGTAGTTCGGACGGCGGAGTTTGACCTAGAGGTAGATACGTAGTTCTACCTACGCCGTTCGGCCCGCGTTAGCACATCAGATAAAACCACGCCATCTGGCACCAGCCATTCAGCCTGTGCCGTTAAGCCGGCATCGTCCGGCATTCTCCGACGACTCTGATAGGGAGAGGCAATAACCTTTAAAGGAAACGGTTCTGTTTGAAGCTTTTTGAGGTATTTCGCCGCTGGCTCGCTACTATGACAAGGCGTGACAGTCCGCCGTAGACGACAGATCTGGGTTGAAGGAGCGGCAGTTAGGCGAGAAAATTCTACGGCTACGCTAGATGAGCTTCCTAGATATAAAGCATGGCAAAATCGTTCTTAGGGTCTTCCACTATGACCTGCTCTCGTCCTCGCCAGTACTGTGCTTGCTGAAGTTGCATTTTCTAGCCTATATATATAGCGTTCTCCGCTAGCGGATAGAGAGAAGTGAGAAGTAGGAAAGGACGTTCTACTAGTGGAAGCAAAGCTTGGAAGCAGGAAAAGGGCGTTCTAGTAGTAGAGGGGAGAAGAGTTAGGAAATAGAAAACGGCGTTTCGCTAGTAAATGGGGGAGGAGTCGAGAAGCAGGAAAAGGTTGTTCCACTAGTAGAAGGTCTAGTAGTGGATAGGTGAGGATATAGAAAAGCAGAAAACGGCCTTCTACTAGTAGAAGCAGAGCTAGGAAGCAGTCTAGTGGATGAGAGAGGAATTAAGGAGCAGGAAAGATCGTTCCACCAGTGGATGGGGGAGAAGTTGAGACGTAGGAAAGGATGTTCTACTAGTAGAAGGTCTGCTAGTGGATGGGGGAGGAGTTGAGAAGCAGGAAACGGCGTTCAACTACTAGAAGAAAAGCCGGGGAAAGGGTCACCACTAGTAGACACAAGGAGGACCTGGAAGCGCGAAAAGGGCGTGACCACTAGTGAATAGAAGAAAATCTTAGATTGTGGAAAGCGGTCACCACTAGTGCATGTGAGGAGAACCTGGAACCGAGAAAAGCGGCTACCACTAGTAGAGGCGACGAGGAACCTGGAATCGTGAAAAGGGCATAACCACTAGTAGATGGCAGAGAACTAGAATGCCAAAAAGCGATCACTACTAGTGGATATGAGGCAGGGAGAGGAGCGTCCGGCTAGCGGAAGGTTTTAGCATAGAACGAGGGACATGGGATGTGAGTGGCGAACTTAGACGATGCAAGACTCAGGGCGCTACAAATCCAGTTCTGAACTGCTAATCGAAAGCTGGAGAGAAGAAAGGAAGATACGGCTGTCTACGTGTGGCGCTTGGATGAAGCCCTTTTCTACGTTGTGTTTGCAGCGCCAACGTGTTTTGGCAAGGTTTGCAAGTCAATTTTCCTCTAGCCGCGCGCTTACGAGACGCCGCAGGTGACGTCGTCAACGCACCCTCAAACCCCGCTGACGCCCGTACGACGTCTGGCAGAGCCCTCGGCTTACTGAATCACAGTGAACAGCGCCATGCCCAGCTATCTCTACATGCTTATTTACTATCTTTTTATCCTTGACGCCCGTCCTGGTTTGAAAACTCCTTTCTACATCGATACGTCAAGCCAATTGCTACCCCTTGTGCCTCTTATCTTTGTCGCAGGAGGCTTCGGCTGTCAGGGGTTGGGTGGAGGAAGACAGGATGGGAGGGCAGGGGCTTGCGTTTGTGGTGAGGTACCAAGTACTGTACCTAGCTGAGACTCAGCGCCCCGCACTGTTGAGGCACCCGAGAACGGCGGCCCTGCCCAGCCAAATTCGACGGCCAGAACAGCAAGTTCTCGACTTAATGTGTAATTTGACGGGTGGAGTTGTTATCTCAATAGTTCAAGTAAAGACTGCGTGGTACTTAGTGCTGTGACCTTTACGGTGACAGCGAGACAAGGATATCTGCAGGTAACTACATAGTTTATAAATACAGGCAGAAACATAGAGCTGACGCCAAAAGTTTGATTTATTAGTGCTTGTTTCAGGAACGAGGGTGGTCGCACCAAGTGTCGTGTTCCGTCCCGCAGAGGTATAAACCAGACCCGAACTTGTGATTTGGGAGTGAAACAGGCATCGAGAGATCCGATAACTAATTAACTAGCTAACATAGAATTGATAAGTGACTTATGTAGTCATTTATCTCCTCTGATTGGTCCACTTAGTAAAGCCGAGCCCAGCATAGCTGGGGCCTGGATAGAACCAGAGCAGGCATATCATGCCACTTTTCTCAACCCGTTCTCCCTTTTGCTATCTCGCTACCTTTGCAGGGAATACAGACGGAACCGTCGTGCCAACCGCACAACATTCTCGCTCGCTTTCCGTTTTGTTACTATAAGACTTGACACCGGCAAGTAGAGCAGGCAAAAAAAAAATCAGTACTCTTGGGGCTCGGTAGCCAATTTATTCGAAACTTTTCCCACTGTATCAGTACAAGTTGAATCGAGATGAGCGCTCAGTGACCTGTGTTGTGATGAACCATTACAATCCGAACAGCTAGGGGAGAGTAAGGGTTAGGGTCAGGTGAACCTCTAAGGATACTGTGAGTGTAAAATTGGATCGGAGGAGCAGAGTTCAACACAGAGTGAAGTCTTCGAGAGGACGAAAAAAGTGGACGGACTGAAACGTCCTGTTTTCAGTGCGGTTTGTGTGGATCGAACACACGACCTTCAGATTAAGTTCCCGAAGTTTTGACTTCAGTCTGACGCTCTCCCAACTGAGCTAAACCCGCTGATGATTGGTTGGACTAGCCAGAGGTTAACTCATGTGTGGAGGAACGGCGGAGTGTTACTCTTGGGAGAAGTGGAGAGTTTGAGGCGGGTCACGGCGCAGCCTATAGCCGACCGCCAACAAAGACGATTTGGGTGGATGATGGAATCGGTAAAAGCTACGGAGTATATTGGTTTGGCTCTCGTGATGCATAGTCTTGTCATGATGACCAATTCGTTATAGATAGACTATATACAACTGTCGTCTCCTGAAACGTCGCAAAGGTCGATCGTCTCTGTATAACTAAGTCAATTGCAAATCAGCGAGGTGGCACTTGTTAGGTGCTAACGCTACTCAGCTTTCAAACTACAATCGGCCCTCAATTTAGTCGTAATAAGACTCGAGTAAGTCGTGTCAGAAATACGCCCAATCTGTCGTTGTTTTGAATGTGCTTGCCAATTCAGGCAAGGCTGCGAGGCAGCGAGGCTATGCTACAGTGCCTAGGCCCTGTAATCAGAGGATTCACCGCACTTTGAGCGCCACCTGCAAGTGCAGGTTTCCGTCTCGCCATCACTGGAGATGTTGGCAGCTATTTTAGTGACTGAGACAATGCTTGCAGCATTGTCTCAGTCTAAGACTGGCTGCACACCAGAGTCTATTGGCCACGCATGCATCTCCCAACAGCCCCATGGCAGCCGTGGGGAATTTTGGTGGGAAGACAGCTTTCTAAGTACATGCGTACGTATGTACTGTACATCTGGGAACTTTTAATGGCCTCAGCCCGAAGCCTCAACTTGCAATCCCTTTCGTCTTTCACCTCCCGTCTCACCACAGAACTGCGAAGAGACGTCGACGACCTGTACGTGAAGCCCTTCGTGCTCTGCCATAACTTCTTGCGAAAAACGATGTCTGGTAATCTTGACTGCTCCGGTGGCGCCAATATCGCTGCGGACCCCGACGTGGTGCGAAAATTTAAGCCA